TTTAACTGAGCCTTTAATAGTCAGTTATACGGGATTTATAGCATAAATAGTCCTCACAGATTGTCACAAAACTGGATGAAGTTGAGTTAATAAAGCATTTCTTAACACACAATTAGTATATGCCGGAATAATAAGAATTATAAATGTTAATTTGAATAGTTTATAAATAATTTACTAACTCATTCTGAATTATCTTAAAAACAACCAACTATGCTTAAATAACTGGTTTGTAAATAACGCAATACTTAATTTAAAAATGAAAAATAAATCATTAACAAAGTATAAAAGTTAGTGAGCACATTATAGATGTGGTTATAAGTCAGGAATACAGCATTTGTAGGTTCAGTTATAAACTGCTTACTAACGTTTATTAATATGTAGAGTTAATGTTTAACAGATAATGAATTCACAATTTGCTAATGCTTAATAAATGGTTCATAGTGTTTAGTTATTATAAAGTGTTAATGTTAATAATGTTAATAAATTACCCTAAGAGGCTATTCTACAAGACATAAAACGGTACAATGAAACACACACGCATATAAACGTGTAATGAGTGGTCTCTCTTTACAGGCATATAGACGGAAATCATAAACTGGTCAGATGGAAACTGGTTTTCCACGGGTGTGTTGACGGATATAGTCGCTGTATTATTTATCTTGAGTGTCTGAACAACAATAGAGCATTAAGTGTTTTGTCGTTGTTCCAAGAAGGGGTTCAAAACTTTGGTTTACCATCCAGGGTTAGATGCGACCACGGCATGGAGAACACAGAGGTTGCGCGCTACATGTTAAATAGAAGAGGACTAAATAGAGGGAGTGTCATTACGGGCCGCAGTGTCCATAATCAACGAATTGAACGTTTATGGGCAGAGTTGAACAGAGTTGTTTCATATTATTATTCGGACTTGTTTACTTTCATGGAGGACCACGGTATACTGGATTCTCTGTGTGAGCTTCACGTGTTCTGTTTGCATTTTATTTACTTGCCTCGGATCCAGAGGGCAGTTTGGGAATTTAGGGAAATGTGGAATAACCATGGACTCTCAAGTGAAAGAGGACAAACCCCTCTGCAGTTATGGCACAGAGGTGTGGTTAGCCATATTGGAATAAACAACACTGCTATATCTGGTGTGTTCGAAAGTGATGATCATTGGGACGTCAACAAAAACCGACCAATTCCAGAACTGCAGAGCAGGAATAATATAGTAGTTCCTGAAAATATTTACCACCCAAATGACACTACAATGAAAAACATTCTCGAAACATTTAACCCCTTGCAAGATGATGGAAATCATGGAATTGATCTGTTTTTGGCGCTTGTACAATTATTGGTAAGACAACAGGTTGAGACACAGTAACAATGTTTGTAATGCAAGTGTTTATTGCAATTTATTCCTGCAAATGCTTTATTTACTACACAGCAAATGTTATGTAATTAATTCATAAACATGCATTTACAAATGTATTACACAAATGCTTGTAAAACACAAAACATGGAAAACATCAGTTAAAAAAAGTAATGTTAGGATTGATCACAACTGATGAAAACTTCCTAACAATGAGTTAAACAAATGCCTCAAGAACACTGGCACATTAACATGTTAGCATAAAGGTTGAAAATGTTAATTCCTAGTTAAAGGGATAGTTTATCACTTTTTACACACCCTCAATTGGCTCTATACCTTTGAGATATTTTTTTTCTATTGAACAAAAAACATTTTGAATAAAGCTAAACCCTTTAACCAAAGA